GTGAATTGAAATAAAGGTAAATTTATTAATGTTACATATTTAATTGGTTCTAATTAATAAACAAAAGATTTAATGGGTGAACAACCTGGTGCAGGCACAGCTGAGGCAGTGGAAAGAGAAGGGGCATTGTACAGAAGGCAGTAAAGTAATTAAAACCTCCCCAAATGAAATTTAAACAACTAATTAACTAGCCAAATAAGAAATAAACAATAAACAAAATAAATCAAATACTATAAACTAATTACTAAGATAAAGCCCAGCATTTAATTAACAAACTAAACTATTTTTTTCAATTAGAACACGAAAAACAAAAATAAAATGAACTGCTGGCTGAAGGAAAAGGAATAGCAGAAAAATGCAATGCCTGTCCCTTCTGTCTATATAGCTGATGATGATCCAAGAAGCAACCCTTCAGTATCCTTGCTTCAGACTCTTTCCAATTCTTCGCCAGGCATAGCTTCCCTGACATCTGGTTAAACTGACCTCTTACACCTGAGGCCAGCAAACTGATCTCCCCCATCATTTGATTCAGTGAGTTTTGTTCACATTTTCTCTATTAATGAATTAATATTTAGCAGTAATCATATCCTAAGGGTGCTCATCAGTTTTCAGTGGATGACTGGAATATTGAATTGGTAATATACATATACACATAGATACACACAAATACACACAGCAACATTCTATATCGTTAGTCTTCCCTGGATAACAGAATAACCCACTGTAAATGGAATCAAGGTGAACCAGATAATGAATTGATTTATTCTGCTGTGTGCAAACAATGTCTTAACCAGGCATTACAAATCACTTCTTCTTTCTGTGCAGTCAATACAGTATTCAAAAAATAGCTCAAGTTGCTAAGGAAGAATCCACAAGTCCAGTGCTTCATGTTAAGAATAAGAACAAAAGGTTAACCTTCACACTCAATTCTGAGACTTTTCTCTTCTAGCAGAGAGCTTCCTGTACATAATGAGAGAATATCTAGAATTTTCTTTTTATACATTTCTGTTTACTAGCCAAGCACTCTTGACTTGTAGAAGGACAGAGCTGTTGACAAGGCTGATTCAAATCTAGAAATGTTATGGGATTCCCCATCCCAGTTTCTCAAATGGAGTCTCAATTGAAGTTCCCAACACTTTCGGGAATCAGTGTGAAAACAAAAAATATATGGAGTTTTTCCAGCTTTGCAGGCAGTCTCTCTTTCTAGCACAACTTTGCTAGCCTTCTCCATGATAGAGACCTAACATTATGTAAAAATCCTAGAATCAGAGTTGGAAAAGACCACAAGGGCCATCCAGTTACAATCCACTACCATGTGTAATGTACCTGACTCACTTTAGAAAGTTAGGAAGTGACATACCTTAAAGGGCTGGCAGGTAAACAGCCATTTTGTGCTGCCCAGAGAACAGTAGCACCAGTGGGGGAAGCCAGTTACATGCGAGTTACCTGATTGGTCGTTTGCAAATGAGTGGGTGCCAAGATTTGAAAGGGGGCAGAAGGAGGGATGAAAGTTGGAGAAGCCCAACTGAACATTCAGTGGCGGCTAGGGAGTCCGCTGGAGGCATTCACTGAGAATTAGCCAGTCAGTTAGGGTCTGGAAGGAAATAGCTGAGGAGCAGCTGGAAAATTGGTTAAAGAAACCTGTTCTTATGTATTCGCATAACCGTCCTTTGAGAAGATAAAAATAGTTTGAGAGAAACTCATATTGAAGCATTGTTCTGTAAGCAGCAAGCAATTGATCCTATGTAACCACTACACATATGCCATAAGAATTATACAAATAAACTAAGTAACTGTTTCACCTTCAAACAAACTCTCTCTCCATGTATCACTTCCAGCTCGAGGAGTCTTAAAAGGAAGAAGAAGAAAACAATCCTTTGCTCCTTAGTGCAATATTTTACTCAGACTATCAGCCAGTCTCCTTCCTGACCATTTTGCATTTCTGATTAGATAAACAAATAAGAGGTCCCTTCAGCCAGGCCACGAGACCAGAGAGTGTGTGTCCCATATTTAATGGTGGCAGAGTAGGGATTATAAAATAAAAGTTCCACCTTGAAAGAATAGAGACAGAGTGTGTCTCATATTTAATGGTGGCAGCAGTGGGATTCATGTAAAAAAAACTAATCCGGTGCCTAAGACAGCAACGGGATACATGTAATAAAACTAATCCAGTGTCAAGAGCAAGGCTGAAGGGATTTGAATGACAAAACCGATCTAACATTTAAAGCAAAGCTGGTAGAAGTTATGAGGCAGAGTGAACTCACAAAGATGGCACTGCCAGAAACTCAGAAGACAGTCTCTGAGGAGATACAAAAGTTGAAATGGCAGATAGAATTAAAAAGAAGAAAAATACAAGAAATTAAAGCTGAAAGAGAGAGAGAGAGAGAGAGAGAATAATTCATGAAAAGAAGATGATAAAAATTAGGTAGATGATAGAGGCTGAGATGGAAAGAAAGAAGGGAAATGATATATTTGTGAGTGACCTCTGGGAACTGATAGAAAAGGAAAGTGAAGAAATTACAACAGCTGAAGTTCAGTGTTTCCAGAACCCAGATGTTATGAGTGAGATAAAAGAAAAAGAATATAAGCTTCCAGAGGTTTCTCAACAGCAATCTATACAGGCAGTGAGATCGTGTGTGGCTGTGCAGCAGGCAAAATGTCTAGAAACAGAAATTACTAAAAGCAAAACTGAAACAAGAGAAACTTCCAGAGCTGCTTATGATACATCTGTATCAAATGCCAAACATATATGCCCAGATGCAGGAGAAGCAGACAAAGAACAAAAAGAAGAATATAAGGATGGTGCTACTGTTCTCTGGGCAGCACAAAATGGCTGTTCGCCCACCAGCCCTTTAAGTTTGGGGAAGGCGGGCTGCCTTTTCCAGGCTCAGAGGAGGAAGAGAAACACGTCACTGGTGAGAGCTCTCTAAAGAGCACTAGTCAGTGGTGGTCCCTGCCTCGGCCCTCCTCTCAGCCAGGGGACATGGTGGGCTGCTGTGTCCACATCCGGAGAGGGGGGCTGAGACAGACGGGGGCCGGAGGGAAGAAGTCAAAGGGCAGTGCCTAGACTGCAGGACAGAGTTTGCCAATGCTGCACTATACCATTTCCCTCCACAGTTTCACAGAAGTTTATTTCACAATATTTTGCAAGGGTCAGCAATTAGAAGAGCCACACCAGCACTTTCATAGCAGCAGTTGTGGGAGGATAATTAGAATAATGCAGAACTGAATGGATCTTCTGTCATTTCCCCCCAAATCCTACAAGTATTTCAAGTTGGCCACAATGACAATGTGTGCCAAATTTGGTCCAAAACCATAATTGGTGAGATTCACATGGCTCTCTTTGAATGTGGGTGTACTACAACTTCCACCACCCTCTCTCAGTGCACCTTCCATATTTGTTGTTGGGTCATTCATCAAGCTATGTAGGAGCCTTTGTGGTGTAAGTAAGTGTGTGTGTATATATATACACACACAAACATACACAGGCAATATCAACTGATAAAACATGTTTAAAAAATAATTACAAAACTATGGGGTGCTCACATTATGTTTCTAAAGTGTTTCTATAATATGATTAATGAAAAATTTCAATACCACAGTAGAGTTTTACTTATCCAACCTTCACTCATCCAATGTTCTGTATTATCCAACGCAGTCTGCCTCCCACCCAGATCAACAGCTGTTACAATACATTGCGATGTTTTGGTGCTAAATTCGTAAATACAGTAATTACTACGTAATGTTACTGTGTATTGAACTGCTTTTTCTGTTGATTTGTTCTAAAACATGACGTATTGGTGCTTAATTTGTAAAATCATAATGTAATTTGACGTTTAATATGCTTTTCCTTAATCTCTCCTTATTATCCAACATTTTAGTTTATCCAACATTTTGCTGGTCTATTTATGTTGGATAAGTGAGGCTCTACTGTATTATAAGAGTAACGAAATGTAGTTATTTTTTGTTACAGTAATTGTGCATAATGGGGAAAATTCAGGGGCTCCTTTTTACCTCATTTTTACAGCTATTGGGGTAAAACTTGCTACAATGGTGGAACTCATTTACCACTGCTAGCTCATCACATTTCTGAGTGTTTCACATATCCACAGAGTTTTGGGGAATTTCCACAGTTTTTATAAATAACATTTTTTTAAAAAAAATACAAGAGGTATCTCCTTACATTTTCTATACAATGACATAAGGTAACAGATAATCATGTCTCCCAACTTTCAGAAATATTCATACATCTACTGATTTTAAGGATTTTTAAAATTTTGGATAAAAAAACTTTTTTAAAAAAGGCACAACACCTATTGCATGGAACGTCTCTGATATTAAGCAATAGAAAGCAATATTAGCCAACTCTACATTTTCATAGAATTCTATAGTTGGAAGGGGTCCCCGAGGGCCATCTAGTCCAACTCCCTTCTTCCAGGCAGAAGGGCACCATCAAACTCTCCTGGCAGTTGGCTATCCATGCTTCCCTTATCGAGTTGGAAGGGACCTCCAAGAACAATCCATTTAGGGCTTTTTTTCCAGACTAGCACTGATTTAAATAATAATAATAATAATAATAATAATAATAATAATAATAATAATAATAACTACATTTCCCAGAGTTCTGTGCTTTCTTTCTCATTGAACTCTCCTTTCTCTCTGGTTTTCCTCTTTTAATGGTGAGAGGTCATTAATTTTAAGAGGAATGGGAGCTGTTTTGGCTGCTTGCATGAATATGAAATTGACTTTGGGAGGCTTCCAAGGATTACAACATTAAAACGAAAAAGGATTGGGTAAGTTTTGATAATTAAATTTTAGGCACAGGCCACACCCACATGTTAGATATCACTTTGGAAGTATAGTAGGCTGTCTCTAAAGCAAAGTATTATCACTCTTATGTTCCTCAGGTTCTTGCTAGTCAAAATTGCTGCCTCTACTAACTTTTATTCATTTTCTCATAGCGTTTTGAATCATTTGTTTTTTTGTTTTTGTATCAACAGATCACTGTTACCAGTTTCAAGTGCTAATTTGGGGTGTAAGGACTTAAAATTTTGCTGCTGAGAACATCAAGAGATGTGGGATTCCTGCTGCAGGTAGGAACCAAAAAGTTTAAAATATTGAATGTGGTCTGGAGAATTTTGTTAAGAGTCCCCCATGCTCACTTATGACCTCATCCGATTGACTTTGTCCCCCTCCCTCCATTTCACTGTCATATATAATATAATATATATAATATAATAGGGAGTCACAGCTGCTATCAGATGACGCAGCCATACTTTTGGTAGTAAACCCCCCCCCCCCCCCCGGTCACAGAACTATAGATCTATTGTTAATTTGGGCTGATCTGTGATCACTAAGAGAAATTGTGAAATTGGCAAAAATAGTGTGAAGGACCCGTCATTTTGTCTCAAAATGACATGTGATGGGATCCATATCAGTCTCCGTCCCATTTTAGTGCTCAGCCTAGTGAAGAGGGGTGGTCCGATGAATGATCCTTAGAGCAGTGAGCTGGCATCTCTGTTTATAGAAAGGCATGATTAGTCCTTCACAAATTTATTTTTTAAAAAAATAGAAATGACAGATACTGCTGAATAGAGGTCTTGGAGAATTGAGAGAACTGGCAGTTCTCCTTTGCTGGTTGTTTTAAATTTGTTATTGTTTACTCTTAAGTTCTTTAATTGTTTTTTTTTAAAAAATACTTGGCTTTCTTATTTCACTTCTATCCTATTATTGTACTTCAATATGTAATTTGATAGTAATGGAGTCTATTTTCATTTTGAGATGTCCATGTAAGGACTTCAAATCCAAATGGTAATAAATACCAAATAACTTTATATTATTTCCTGTTATGATACATATGAAGTCCACTGTAAAGAAACCTATCTGGATATTATAGAAATTTTATGAGGTGGCTCATTAGTAGAATTTCTTTACAAAAAACCCCCAAGGTGGGCAGAGACTTCTTGGTTCTGTATGATGAGGAAGATGCCATATGCCTACAGGGAAGCACTCCAAAGTTTGATATGTCTGATGACAGGAAAAGTCATGAAACAAGGCGATGGATGACTGAAAGGTATTATCTGTTCATGATTCCTATTTTTACTTTATGAAATGATCCCCTGACACACCACTGTCCTAGTAGGGTTTAAGATTCAACTCCTACACATTGCAACCATGTGCTGCAAGTATATTTAATATTGCTTTGCTTTAGAATTGATTTATCATGCAGAATGTGAGGAGGAACCCTGGCCCAGAGTCTCTTAGGGCATGGCTGTAGATCAGTGGTTCTTAACAAACCTGTGGGTCCTCAGGTGTTTTGGCTTACAACTCCCAGAAATCCCAGCCAGTTTACCAGCTGTTAGGATTTCTGAGAGTTGAAGGCCAAAACATCTTTGGACCCACAGGCTGAGAACCACTGCTGTAGATGCATGTTTCTTTGGATCATGGTAATTTTCTTTCAAGAATATACCTATTATATAGAAAAAATGCGAGTAATGTCAGAAAAGAAACATGACCTTGGTTCAAATATTTGTCTAGCAGTGGTGGCAGCTTGGGATGCAGCATCTGGATCAGACTCCTTTCATGCTATGTAAGCATATCTTGTGTAGGCTGACCATGTGTTATTTTCAATGTATGCGATATTCATGATACTTCCTATTCTCCAGAAAGGTCAGATCAAGAGTATCATATGTATATTAATTTGTAAACTGCTTCATGTGATGTCAGTTGCCCAGTGCTAGAAATCCATGCCGAATTGTTCTATTGAACAAAACATGTTTGATCTGAAATGCTAGTGAGAACTTGGGCACCCACTGAAAACAGATTTATAGGTGTTTTGGTTGTGCCAACTCTCAATGATGCTTTTGAAAGAAATACTCCACAATGCTGTTTGCACCACCACACACACAAGATTTTTGTGCTGTAATACTGTTTGGAAATAAAGCATTCTTGAGTTGATGATGGTTGTGGACTTCTCTCCATGTCTCAAGGTGAATGTCACTGGCTCTAGGTAGGGTTCATATTGGACAACTAGTCATCTGTCCATTTCAACAACTTTTGCATGTGCACAAAGGAAGTTTTGTTTTGTTCAAAATAAAATTGCTCCGGTGCTTCAACCATCTTTATCAAGGTTTGGATTATTTTTGGTGGACCCATAAGTGTCTACCAGGTAGCCACTGACATGCTATATGAAGAATTATATTAGATATAATCTGAAAGTCTTCAGACTCTGCACACAGACCTCCACATTTCCACCTTCCCTGTGATCTCTGCTTGACATTTCTTTGAGTGTGTTCATTATCTTGTGGAAGATATAAGGCTCCATTTTAATAGAATGCTTTATATAATTATTCTGGAAATTATTCTAGAAAATTATTATTATAGTTGGACCACCCAACTCAAACTTTCTGGCTAAGAGCCTGAGGCTCTAACTGCTATGCAGTTTAACAGGAAATGGGATCCCCTTTACAGGTTGCTTGTTCTCTGCTTGCTAAAGGGTCAGAAATTCATTCGTGAACAAATGAAATGGCCTTCTACTGAGTCAGAGCATTGGTTCATTTAGCCCAGTGCTATCTATTTCAACTAGCAGTGGTTCTCTGAGGTATCCTGCAGTGATTTTTCTCAGCCCTGTAAGCTACTTGAAAATATTTTGACTGGAAATACCAGGGAACTTGTACATGCACAACATGTTTTATGTTACTGAATTATGTCCCTCCCCTTTGAGATTTTTCATGGTACATTTCCTTCTTCATATTGCTTTTGTCAAATGGGATGCGTCTCATTTCAAAGTTATGTCTCCAAGCTTCCAAGGGAGCAAAAGACATGGGAGCAAAAGACATAGTCTACCACCATGTTGTTTGAACAATGTATTGCTTTTCTACTTGAATTGTTACTAGCAGTTTCAAACTGTAAGATGACTTTTCTCTGTGTGTTTTCATGCTAGCATACTGGAGCTGTTGGCAATGTTCTATGTGCACAGTTTGCAGTCTTCTTGTCGAAGGATGCTTTCAAATAGTTAAAATGGTCATATTGTGCAGTGTCAGTTCTCTTTATCACAACATCAGAGCTGAAGCAAATGTGGGCGAATTTTCCTGAATATTGCACATGGTGGGGGAAGTAACATAAGGAAAATATTTTGGCAGCATTCCCATAGCACCCCTGATGTGCAGTTTTGCTGTAGAAGATATATGTCAATTGCCATCCTTGTTTACAAGGAACCATTTGCACAGGCCTTGGGTTAATGAACATCCCAGTGCATATACACAGTATGATGCACATCTAGAAACCAAGTATCCAGAGAAACCCATTCCTACAATGCACAATTTTAATGGAAATGTGCTCTTTTATCCACATCCAAGATCACAATGATTTTCCACATACTGAAGTCCATGTTATTAATATGCTTTCCTCAAAGCCATCTAAATTAGGTTCCTAATAGTTAACCATCCAGTACTGATGACTGCTTGTCAGGCTCCATTTACTGGGTCCTGTCATATTCTTAGGACATCAACACATGGAGATTCCTAACAGTAGTGACTGGGAGGGGGGATTCACCAGACAGAATGGTGAATCCATGGGGCATGGAGCAAAACTGTCAATCCCCCCCCCCCACATCACCCACATTGCCACTTTTCCTATCACACCATAGAAAGCATTGCTGCCTGGCTTCCCCCCACACTGACCTCCTTATAACTAATGAGAACACAGGAAGCCTCCCATGTTCTCTGGGATCCATGATAGGACACTTCCAGGACGGAGCCAGAATGGAGCCCCTCCGGAAGTAGCCCTGCATCATGAGATGGGCTCTGACAGGCTCTGACGGATCCTAGCTCTGACCTGGACAGAGCCCAAGACTAATGTGATGAGGTCCTAAATTCCTCTTCAAATGGGGTAGTGACATATAGCCCTCAAGAAACAAACCAACCAACCAACCAACCAACCAACAACAGGATCTTATCACTATGAGGAATGCATGACTCCATTAACTTGATGTAGATGGAGATTTTTTTTTTAAAAAAAAACAGCAGTTACTGGAGCTCCAGGTGTAAGACTTTGATATTTTGGGGAAAAAAAGATTGCTAGGTATATATTTATTTTATATTAAATTCATATAAGGTCACCTCCCCTCATCCCCTCCTGTGTTCTTTAAGAGAGGATGAATACCATGAGGATATTTATTTGGACAGATAACCTGTGTGTGGGGTTAGTCACAATGTTTGCCCATACACAGGTGTAGTGTACAAGGGGAAATCATGTAAACTTTCATATATTGATAAATATTGATTCCATGCTAGGATCATCGTCGTCGTCGCCATCATCATCTTCTTAATTGCATTTAAAGATAAATCACTGAGCATTTGTTAATTTCAATTTTAGATTATCCTGTGTGGCAACCAGCACATGTTTATTATGAGTGAACAGATTACTGAAAATAGGATGACATGATTAAAAGCCAATGCATCTTAGACAAATGTTGCTTAAATTTTCATTATCCTATCCATAAAGTAAGAACTCTTAATCTGTTCCAAAAGAAAAAGCTCCAATGATTTCAGCTGCCTTTCCTTCTTCTTGAGTGGATACAGCTAATATAATTTATGTTGCTTCCATGTTTGCATTCAAAGTGATCCTTCTGAGTATCATAAGGCAACCTACTCTGACACAAATCCATCCTCCAAAGCACCCTGAATAATCACACAGATAATTAAAATCTCATTGTTAATAACAAGAAATATAGCAGGAGGCATGAAGAAAGTGCTCTATTGTAGGACAACAATCCCCAGTTTGCTTTACAAATGTATATGTCATTTAAGCAGCAGGCAGAAGAACCACACAGTTATAGATACTTTGGGTGGGGAAAACACACAGAAGCCTAATAAATCATGGGTAGGATTAAAAGTAATGAACATTTATCTTCTTAACCCTGTAAAGCAACACTGCAAATCCAAGGATTACAGCTTGCTGTGTTTTAAAACTTGGTTCAGTGATTAAAAAGTGCCAGCCTTTTTTAGTTTTTGTTGTTTTTGGTTGTTTTCCACTCCTCTGCTTTGTGTTTGTTGTTTATTTGTATCTTTTTTAAACAAAAACTCTCTCAATT